TATTTCAAGACCATACTTACTGATAATGTCACTCTACTTCAAAGTGCAAAGCGTTCCTGTCATGCTCCTGCATAACTGTGCCTCTGGAGAATTTCCCTTATAGATCAGATGATAAAACCAAGCCTGACAGTGGGGTGTGTGGGGCTCCCACTCACTCTCTGTGACACATTCTGAGCTAAACTTTGACGAAACCCACTGAAGTATTTGCTTTAATTATTTTTTAATCAACCACAGATCCAGACCAGAGGGGGCTGGGGGGATTTTCACCGGTGCAGAAAGAAGAAACAGGTAAAAAAACAGGTGCAACTGCAACAAGATTCTGTAAAACACACCACACCTTTTAAATTATTAATACAGTTTGATCACAGGTAGATAGATGAAAAAGATAAAACTTACATTTTCTCAGTTTCACACAACTGCATGTTAATCACAGACCTTCTGCTTGCGCTTCCTGATGGCTCTGACATCACTGAAGTCATCAATCATGGAGCCTTCAGGGCTCTACGCTTGCATACGAGTCCTTGACTTGCCAAGATTCCTGTGGTGTGATGTATTTTAATCCCACCTTGCATGAAGAATGAACATTGCATCCTCTGAAGAAGCACCTAATCATAATTTAATATTCACACGGAAACTCTAGAAACCTTGTGTACTTTTTTCTTTTTTGTGGCCAGCTTAATCACAGCACATAATATCGAGATCAAGCTATTCACTGCGTGTTTATAATCATCAAAAGGAGATCAGGCTTCTTTTACTGTTGTGTTTATTTAAAGGCCTCATCTGTTTAATTATACTAAGCCTCATTATAATCCACAACGACTCATTTATTTTCTAATTATAGCAAAAGTCTATAGTATAAAACTGTATTCAAATGGTGGCATCCATTTACAGCTGCAGCATTAACAATTTATTGAAGAAGTTGAATGACTACTAAAAAAAAAAAAAAATACAATGCTTCACACGAAGTTGTCTTCCAACACATCAGACAATTTATAGCAACATGTCGGCTGATATTAAGTGAAAACCACTAAGGTCTGTCAAAGTAATCAGGAAACGCTCCATAAAAAACCTCTAGCCGTTATTACAGTGTCAGTCAAAGCTTGTTCACCCAAATATATGCCAGCAGGCAGTTGGTTTTTGTTTGTGAAAAGGATGCCAAGAGCTACCCTGATTAATTACTGATTATATTTATAGGCTGCAAAAATGTAAGCAGGCATTATGCAGGAAAAAATAAATCCTCATTAAATTTGAAAATAGATTATTAGACCTATTTTATGTTTTTGCACAAGATAAAAAATATACAGATTCTGCGAAAAATAACATATTTTTCTAGGTTTACTGCTATTTGATAGTTTTAAAAAAGTAAATTCCTCCAAATTCATAGCTGGCCATATTTGCTGAAGAAAATGTTCTCTTTTGGTGTTTTTTAGCAGTGGCACTTAAGAGTTACGTCGAGAAATGCGTAGGTGACATCTCTGACTGCTTGATAGTTGGGAAATGAGAAATCAGACCTTTTTCTGATTAGCGAAAGCACCACGCTAAAGGTTAGATGTTTCCATTGTGTGGTGCTCAGAAGTAAAAAGAAAAGCTGAGGCACAAGCAAAGCAATTAGAAAGAAAAAGATGGTGTATTAGTATAAAGACTGGCCTGAATTCTATTCAGGCAGGGAGGGAATAAAGCTTTTTAAAAATCAGTATTGCAAAGTTGCTCTTTTTTTCTCTCTCAAAATTTATGACAAATAATAATGGATCTGACAAAGGTGGGAGCCCTTTAGAAAGTGTCTATATTCTACATATTCTAGGGAATACGCAGGAATCTATGTTTTTAGTAATGCTAGCCTTATTAGTTGCTGATGTAAAATTCAAAACTTTATAATAATTAACTTTTTTAAATAACTGAGTTTCAGTTATGAAGCAAATGCCCTCCTACAGACCATGTGTGACATCACACATGACCTCTTAGCAGAAATCGGCTAAAGTCAGTATCAGGTCATAGCTTTACAAAAACCTGAATGTCAAAAATTGTGGAAAGAATTTTGAAATGTTTGAAGGCTTGGATCACAAAAGGATATGTAAATATTCAAATCTGATAAAAACATTTCTGCGCAATTCCTTACATCTGAAAAAAATCTATCCTAAAAGCTTCTTGTAGAAATGAGAGCAAATTTACATCTTTAGCATGCTGTTCAAACCAACTGTCAACATTACTTTGAGATTTCGTCTGTCCTATATAGACTTTGATAGCATTTACAACTGTGTGTAAAAGGAAGCAGGAGCGAGGGTTTATAATTCCCATTCAAAAATGTTGGGGGTGTTTTATCTCTGCTGTCACTGAGTCCAGAAATATGATGCTTGTGGCTGCAGCCAATTCACAATTCTCACTAAATTAACTTAAGAGTTATTTCAGCAGCAGAGTTTTTTTTACCATGCTGACTTGGAATCAACATTCGGATGGTCGGCTATGTTTATAGAAAACAGCCGGGTGGTAATAATGGAAATTAGAGCACCAATAGCAAAACATAACCTCATTATTTAGCCGTAATTATATGTTTTGGGTAATCTGATGGGGATTTCTACTCTAGCTGTGTGATGCAATAGGGATCTTTGATTTGAATTTATATGAATATGTTGCCTTCTAAAGCTTTCATTTTAAAACAGAATCTTTGTTTAAACATACCAACCCATATATATCTACAGGTGCTGGTCATAAAATTAGAATATCATGAAAAAGTAGATTGATTTAAGTAATTCCATTTAAAAAGTGAAACTTGTATATTATATTCATACATTACATACAAACTCATATATTTCAGATGTTTATTTTGTTTAATTTTGATGATTACAAATGACAACAAATGAAAATCTCAAATTCATCATATCAGAAAATTAGAATATTACTGAAGACCAATAAAAACAAAGGATTTATAGAAATGTTGGCCAACTGAAAAGTATGAACATGAAAAGTATGAGCATGTACAGCACTCAGTATTTAGTTGGGCCTCCTTTGGCCTGTATTACTGCAGCAATGCGGCGTGGCATGGAGTCGATCAGTCTGTGGCACTGCTCAGGTGTTATGATAGCCCAGGTTGCTCTAATAGTGGCTTTTAGCTCTTCTGAATTGTTGGGTCTGGTGTATTGCATCTTCTTCTTCACAATATCCCATAGATTTTCTATGGGGTTAAGGTCAGGAGAGTTTGCTGGCCAATTAAGAACAGGGATACCATGGTCCTTCAACCAGGTACTGGTAGCTTTGGCACTGTGTGCAGGTGCCAAGTCCTGTTGGAAAATGAAATCTGCATCTCCAAAAAGTTGGTCAGCTGCAGGAAGCATGAAGTGCTCTAAAACTTCCTGGTATGTGGCTGCGTTGACCCTGGACCTCAGAAAACACAATGGACCAACACCAGCAGATGACATGGCACCCCAAACCATCACTGACTGTGGAAACTTTACACTGGACTTCAAGCAACGTGGATGAAGTGCCTCTCTTCTTTTCCTCCAGACTCTGGGACCTTGATTTCCAAAGGAAATGCAAAATTTACTTTCATCAGAGAACATGACTTTGGACCACTCACCAGCAGTCCAGTCCTGTTTCTCTTTAGCCCAGGCAAGACGCTTCTGACGCTGTCTGTGGTTCAAGAGTGGCTTGACACAAGGAATGCGACAGCAGAAACCCATGTCTTTCATACGTCTGTGTGTGGTGGTTCTTGAAGCACTCACTCCAGCTGCAGTCCACTCTTTGTGAATCTCCCCCACATTTTTGAAGGGGTTTTGTTTCACAATCCTCTCCAGGGTGCGGTTATCTCTCTTGCTTGTACACTTTTTTCGACCACATCTTTTCCTTCCCTTCGCCTCTCTATTAATGTGCTTGGACACTGAGCTCTGTGAACAGCCAGCCTCTTTAGCGATGACCTTTTGTGTCTTGCCCTCCTTGTGCAAGGTGTCGATGGTCGTCTTTTGGACAACTGTCAAGTCAGCAGTCTTCCCCATGATTGTGTAGCCTATAGAACTAGACTGAAAGACCATTTAAAGGCTTTTGCAGGTGGTTTGAGTTAATTAGCTGATTAGAGTGTGGCACCAGGGGCCATCAATTTTGAACCTTTTCACAATATTCTAATTTTCTGATATGATGAATTTGAGATTTTCATTTGTTGTAATTTGTAATCATCAAAATTAAACAAAATAAACATCTGAAATATATGAGTTTGTATGTAATGTATGAATATAATATACAAGTTTCACTTTTTAAATGGAATTACTGAAATCAATCTACTTTTTCATGATATTCTAATTTTATGACCAGCACCTGTATATATCAAAGTTTTTATTTTTTGATAAAACAAAATATTTACTATATACTAATCTTTGTTAAAGAAAAAACATAATAAAAATGAAGCCCAACCTAACTAATTGTTTAGTGATATTTTAAAATCTTTATTTTAAAAATTACTTATTTTTCTGTATTGTTTTCTCTTTCTCTCATCTTTCACAGGTGACATGATGATTCAGGAGGAATAGGATGTGAAAGCACTTGTTAGTTGCAGTCCGTGTTCTACATGCAAGCCATGATGTAATATGGCTTTTTATTCCTATGTGATGATGAAAAATATTCATGTAGGAATAGAAGCTATTTTACAGGTGGTGAGAGAGCAGCATAACACAAGGAGAGCCCCTGGCCACACACAGAGACAGATGCGCGGTTGGATATGTATGGATATAAAATGTATCCGTCTTCTGTTAAATGCTTCCCTGTAGTAAAAAGGTACATTTATGCTCATTTTTCAAATGATGAGTGAACTCTCTGATGTTCTCATTTTAGAGAGGGGGAAAGAAAAAAAATAATAAATCAAGTCAGACTTTGTTGTGTGTGCACCTGTTTTTTGCCTCCAGGCCCAAGCAGCTTCCACTGCTTGGGCTGTTTGATGCATTTGATGACAGATGCCGTCCACAGGGAAGCAGGAAAGATTTGCAAAACACCCCAAGAACAAAAGAAGAGAAGAGCAATAAGAGACCAATACAGATCTTTAATAACAAACTGTAAAACCGGCACTTTGTGAACCACTTTACAACCTGCAAGAGGCAGTTTTCCTTTCTTTTCAACGTCATTCATTTTGCACATTATTAAAATAAAACTTTGTCCTGAAGCATTACACCAAACAATGTCCTACCAACAATACTATACAATGAAGATACATACAGTATAAACAAGATAAAGCACCTTTTTTTGTCTTAGTAAATACTATTAATAATTAAACATTTGGAGTTACAGACACAGATAAATGAGTTTGTCATTTGTGTGTGGTATCATCAGTGCATGGAAAATACTCCAAATACAGGTCCTGGGACTGTGATGTCCCTGTAAGCACCTGAGTTTATGTGTATACCAAAAGTTACTGTAATTTTTTGGAGATTGATTAGCCTACATATGAATGACTTGGTTTATACAGTATATTCAAAAAAGTAAAAAACAGTTGGATGTATATGCTTTGACTGCTACAGATCTCCTACTGTCTGAGGATGTCAGCTTTCACATTACAACATGTAGCACCAAGTTGTTTATACAAAGCCTTATAATAATGAATGTCAACGCATTACAGTAAAGTGTAAAAACAATACAAAAGAATAGGTTGGAAGAATGTGTTCAAGGTGCACAAATGTCCAAGTAAGGTACTGCACGATTTGGTCCTTTAGCAAAATAGACTAAAAGAATCATGTAACTCCTGCAAAAATGGAGAATCCTTTCTTAAAACAACGTAATTTTATTTTTTTTCAAGTATACTTTTATATAAAAACACATTTATTTAAGTGATGTTTAAGCCCCAACTGAAGGACTAAGTTCATATCTGCCATTAGTCCTCACATTTGTGTAATAAAAAAACACGCACATAAGAAGACATAAAGTGACTATGGAAGTATTTATCGATAGCATTTCACAGAAAACAGCTGTGCAATCTGTTTCACCATAATGAGTTGTCTTAAACATGTATAACTGTGAAAAATTACAGACTCTTATTCACAACTCTTCCCACCCCTCAGTTTATAGATTCTGATGTGTCCTTCCTCAAGGGAATCTTAAAGCTGGTAAGTTTTTGACCAAACAGCTGACTCAGAATGTGGTTCTGGGACTCTGCCGTACGGTAGGAGTTACTCTCCAATGTTCTTACACCCATCTTTGGCCTAAGCTTGTTTAAAGAATTGTTTATTGGTACTGTAGGCACTTTTGATACAGGAGAGTGCCCAGATCTCCCAAGAGGTCCCCTTTTGGCTTTATACTCCCCATTTTGAGGTGTAATGATGTCAGGTTTCTTTGGTACACAGCTTTCAAGCAAACCTTTTCTTGCTTGTAAGCTCAAGTTTACATTCTTGCACTTGGAAATAATTTTGTTGCCAACAACATCATCGCGAACAGAGGAGAGGACAGGATACTCGTTTGCTCCCTCCGATCTTCTTTGCAGCGAGGGATTTGCACATTTGCTCGGACGAAATTTCTTTTTAGGCTTAGAATCAACAGTGAAGTTCTCTTGGGTGACCAGGGAGGAAACCCTCTGCAGCATATGTGCAGATTTCATGTCCTTTCTTCTCTTCTGTAGTTTCACAAATTCCTTGTCATCAGACGCAGACAGTGCTTGAATAGGAAGCTTCGACTGAGGAGATGGTGTTGCTTCCATTGCCTTTGCACAGCTACTTCCAGTGCTGATTTTAGTGTTTTCTAGAGGTGTAGCTGGGGCAGCATTATTTTTAATCTGACTGCAACTTTCTTGTTCAGCACCATGAGATAAGGCCTGCTGTTTAGTGTCATTACAAGACAATGTGCTATCCCTCTGCTCATCATTCCCCTGCTGGGTTGTCTCATCAACAGCTAATTCTACAGACTCAGGTGTCTGCAGAAAATTTTGATTTTCTGTTGAGCAGACAAAAGAGTTCTCAAAAACTGCTGGAGGCAAATCTGTTTTATCTTTAACTACCTCCTCTTCCATTGTGTTTCCATTATATACAGTACATGAATTTGCCTCTGTTCTTATGCAGACTAACTCATTCTCTTCTTTGACATCACATGATTCAGTTATTGTTTTTTCATTGCCCTCTTTATCGAGGTTAGGTAACAGAGTCACATTAGGTTCCTCTTCCTTGGCTGCTGTAGATCCAGAGGAACTCAGGTGAATACAGTTCTCCAAGTCTTTAAGCATCTGAGAGCAGTCTGCAGTAATGTCCTCCGTTTTCACATTTGCGTTGCTTGAGTCGTCCTGGTATTCATTTGGGATGGTTTGTGTAGCGTCATCAGCTGTGGGCACACAGGGGTTTGAAGACTGTGTGTCGGCATTCTGATTTAAGTGAATTGAGCTCAAACTTGCAATGCCACTGTCTGAGCTGTTCTCTGGCAGGCTGTCAGAGAGAAGCCTCTTCTTCTTACTCGCAGGTGAATCACATTCACTTTCTTTGGATGCAGATACTTTGACAGGTCTGAGGACGCCCCTGAATTTGAAGATTTTATTACTCCCTGAAAGGTGCTTTTCCATGTGACGGTCAAACTGCTCTTTTTTTGAGAACGTGTAGTTGCAGGTGCTGCAGATGAAAGACTTTTTAATCACATGCATGACATCGGCACAGAGCTCGCAGGTGTAAAGGGTTGTGTGCTTTGAATCAAGATCGTCCATCTCCTCATGAGCACTCCTCAGATGCTCCTTGAGCTCCTGGGCCTCCTGATAAGAAACAGGACACTTGTGGCACAGAAATATCCTCTCCAGGTTGTGCACCACTAAATGCCTCTGGAGTTTGAAGGGTTTGGGGAACTGCTTTCCACAATGATGACAGTCTCTTGAAGGGTCTTTGCAGTTGGGATGCATTTCCACACTCTTAGGCGTTTCTGTTTTGTGGAGGACCTCAACTGGGGTTAAGGTGGTCTGTTTTCCACCTCCTCCACTGCTTGTTTTAGTTTTGTTTGCTTTAGTCTCAGCTCCTTCTCCTGTAGCTGCTTTATCCTGTTCTTTAGAAGCTTTACTTGACTCTCTGTTGGCTTTGCTGGGCCGCTGCTGCATGATTGAGGATATAAAGTTCTTCACAGCCGTTTCTTGCATCAAGCAACCTGAAATGCCAAGCATGGACCCTTGAGTCTGACCTCTCCTGGCAAACTGAGTGGCATGCTCCCTTAAGTGTTCATTGTACATCCAAACATCTGAAATCTCCTTCAGGCACATTCCGCAGGTCCAGATTCCTGTCTTGTTTTTGGCATGCTTTTCCCTCAGGTGGTCTCTCAGCTGCTCCCTTGAACTGAACTTACGCTGCACACACATGTAACAAGTAGGGGGAGGGGAGGGGTTGTGGGAGAGCTTGTGAAAGTTCAGCTCTCCAAGGGTGAGGAACCAGGTGAAGCATACTTTGCATTTGTACTGCTTATCTTTTACTTTCATCCCTCCATCTTGTCGTTTTCTGCCTCGCCGCTCTGTCTCTTTCTTTGATTTCTCATCTTCCTTGCACTCCTCATCTGCAGCCTCAGGAGGAGGAGAATCTTGGATGTGTATTCCAGAGTTAAGGAACTGCATCTCGGGAAGCTGAAATGTTGTGTTGATATTTTGAATGTCGATGGTTTGGAAGGACTGAGGACCCTGACCAGCATGTGGCTCTACTGTGCAGGAAGTGGCTGGCAGAGAGTCCTTGTGTTTGCAATCACTGGGTTCAGATGTCACCACTGGGCATGAATTAAAGCTAGTGAAACCACTGGGAGAGCTCCATTTAGCTGTAGATGTGACATTACTTTCAAAAGGACTCAACAGATTGCTTCCAAGCTCACAGTTATCCTCCTGACTGTTTTGCTTTACATCCGACACTGGCTTGTCATCAGCCTTTAAAGTGCTGTTGTGACACATGTTTAGCATGATGGCATCGTCAATAGAAATGGTCTCATATTCACAGGGATTACTTTTAGGATCACTTATGGTCTTCCCACTTTGGCCTTCCACAAATCGGTCTTTATTTTGCTTGAAAGTTTCAGGGGGAAGATTATCTGCAGCCACATCTGAAGGAATTGATAACTTCTGTCTTTTGTTTCTCTTGCCATACACCCTCGAGCACTTTTTCCTTTTGGCTTCCTCATCTCGAGGAAACAACTGCGAGAATGTGGTATCATCATCAAGTATGGCCCTCAAGTCTGAACTAATGCTGGGAGAACTGGGAGGGGAGGAATTTAGACAAGAGAGGGAATTTAAATTCTCAGCGGTGCATTTCATGTCTGTTGAAACATTTCTAAGAATCTCTAGGGCAAGGCTGTCCTCAGGTGCTTTTGAATCAGACTCAACAAAGCTTCCATTAATCTCATTCTCTATAAATGCACTTTCAACATTTCTTTCTGTGCAAGTCTCTAAATATGCCATAGCTGTCATCTTTGTCTCTCCAAACTGATTGTGCGCCACAGTTTCACTCAATTTCTTTTGCTCTTCAGTTAAGGTTTGAGTGGTGTTTTTAAAGGTGAGGTCTGCAGCAACTTGGTGCAGGAACTCCTCTGTTTCAGAAGCAACTCTATCATACATTTTTTCCTCGGGGTGTTTGCTTTGCTCTTGTAAAACACTGCTTTTAAATTCAGGAGTTATGGCTTGAAGAATGTCTGTTTTTAATATTTTCAAGAGCTCGTCAGAGAAAGGGTCAGCATTCCGGTCACTGATCTTGTTCTTTCTTCCTTTGTTGTTCTTCTTTGCCTTTGTCTGCAGTAGAGGCTTTTGATGGCTTATCTCATCAACTGTCACACTGCTCATCGAAGTTGCCATTTTTTTCAGGGCTGATTCCATCTCTGTTGTTTTAGAGGTAAGAGAGTCACTTATCTCAGGCAGGCCTTCTTTTTTAGTTGCTGTGAAACACTTTTGTGAATCATCTCTCAATTTTTTCACCGGTTCTTCAGTCCCCTGATTACTGGCTGTTGAGTTCTTTGTGCATTTCTCGGGTCTGGCAGTGTGCTTCATGGCCTTGTGTCTCTTTAGCCCTGGCACAGTTCTGAAACACATGAAACAAATCTCACAGAGCACTTTATTCTCTGGATTGCTGCTCTGTGAGTTCTTCTGTATTGTCTCTTTTTGTGTTTGCTGACCTGTTAAACATGGACTCCCTTTTATTTTTAGCTCTATTTCTGGTGGGAGGGGAACTCTCTCATTTTCACAGATCAGCGGTGGATCCGCTTTTTTGGAATGTGCATTATCTTCAAAAGAACACTTGTGAGAATCTAAACTGACTAAAGGAACTTCTGTCTGTAGGTCAGCTTGGATGCACAAATCCTTGACAGGCTGATCTGGATCAGGGAATACCTGCAGGCTTATCTTTGTATTATCATCTGAAGATTGTGACTTTGGGATGTCAGAAGTGAGACCAAATGAGAAACAACTGAATTTCATGCTTTCCTGCAGAACCAGAGGGTCATTGGATTGCTGTATTTTAGCTACAGCATCAGATGCTTGTGGCACTGTCTCTGTGTCAGTTTGGTTTAAGATCAATGTAGGGTTAATGCTTAGGTCACATGACTCACAGCTCTCTGTGGGTCTTGGCTTGGTAACAGGATCTTCCTCAGGTTTATCAGCAGGTGATATTGGTATGTAGTCATACTGGTTAAGCTGTGGAGGTTCATCTGACACTTTGTAGTAGTTCAGGGGGCTGAGCTTTAAATCATACATCTGATCAACTTTTTCAACTTTGTCTATTACCTTTGGCGGTTCTGCTGTATTTCTCTCTGGAACTGGAGATAAACTGACAGTTTTAGTTGATGAGATCATTGTGAATTCCAGTGAAGGTGAGCTCATTAGAGAAGAGTCCATCTCAGCCACTCCTTCTATTGAATTATTGTTTGTTGCCTCTTTGTTATCCTTGATTGAAGGAGCATTTTGAGGGCATTGGTCAATTAGTTTAATGCTGTCGTTACCTATTAAAAGTAAATCTGTTTTTGAGTCACAGTTCTGTGTAGGAGTTTGGTGAGAAGATAAAATAGGACTTGGTGGTGAGGCAGTGTCCAAAAAGGTGCAGGGGATTTCTTCATCTGCCTTTCTGCATGGGGAGTTCTGCTGGCTTGCCATGAAATCAACAGGAAGATGGTCTTTGATGTCTTGAACATTCAGAATCTTCTCTTGCTTGGCAAATACAAGCCCTGCTTCAGTTTTTAACGGCTCATTAAACTGAGTCACTTTGCAGGAATTGCCATAAATGATGTCGTCAGACTGTGACAGGATCAACAGATTGCTTTGTCCCTCTGCAGATTGGGAGTCACGGAGGGGTGAGCCACATCTTTCTGGATTGGTTTTGAACAGCCCAAGATTGCAGGGCTTATCTTTATTAACCATATCCAAAGACACATTTGATTTACAGTATGCATTTGAAGAGCTGAGGTTTTCAGAGGAAGAGATTGCAATCAAATTTCCTTGTTTTGATGTCTCAGTAATTTCAGCAATTTTCAACTCAACAGCTTGTGATGCACTAATGTTTTCATGATTGGTAATGTCATTAGTGTATTGTTGTTCCAGGTCTGCTTTGATCACATCTGCCATTTTCTGGCCATTCTCCTCAGTGGGGTCACCTGGAGCAGGTGAAGAATGTTGGCTCTTAGTTTGATAAGTAATCTGCTCTGCTGCCTCTGGTTCCTCACAAACTTCTCTGCAATCACTTTTATTTTCAGTCAAACTGTTAAAATTCTCTCTTTCACTGATGACTGAGCAGCTAGCAGAAATTACATCTGATGCAACTTTGGTTCTGGCATTTTGCTCATTATTTGTGGATTCATGCTGTTGCAAGGTAACTGGCTTCTTGCTTTCAGATGAAGGGTCAGTGTCATTGTGGACAGATATCTGTGACTCGTCAAGAATTATTTCATTTTCATGCTGCTGTTCAATGATATTTTGAAAGGACAAAACACTATCATTTCTGTTGATTGCTTCTTTTTTGTAGCAAGCTTCCCTCTCAGCTGCATCAGGGGCCTGACATTCTGCCTGTTCGTGTCGTTGACTAGGAGAGTTGACATTTGGCTCCTTCTCTGATACAACAGGTTCTTTTTGAAAGATAGAGTCTGAAATCACCTCTAAGCTTTTCATGAGATTTTCAGTGTATCTTCTTTGCTCTAAAATGTCTTCTTTTGTTTCTGCAGGAGTCTCCTTTTCAACCTTCCTCTGGTCTAATTTCTGGTCAGAATGGAGTTCTGCTTCTTTACCGTGAATCTGAGTGTGAGGGCTGTGATTTTCACCCAAGTCAAACTGGAATGTGCTGGACCATGGGAGATCTGATTGGGTTAAAATTTCTGAATGGTTGACTGTTTGATCTGAGCATTTAATGTTCAACCTTTTGCTTTCACACTCAGAGTTCTCAGCAATCCGTAAAGATGAAAATTTGCTAATTTGCAGTTGCTTTGGGGCTTGCTGGAGGGCTAGGGTTTCCATCTTATTTGTCTGAAGCTGATTTTCAAGCTCATTGACTATTCTCTTTATCTCCAGCTCATCTTCTGATGCACAGCTGCTGAGATTTGCACTGTAGTCAATTATTTTCTCTGGAAGTGACAATGGGATGTGAGCGTAATCTGTCTTCTTCTCATTTGATTTCTCAGAAATACCTTTGTACTGAGATAGCTCATTGCGTAGCATGGGATTTACAATGAGGTTCCAATCTCTCTGTTCAATAAACGGAGAAAAAGAAGAGACAAACAACTCCTTTTTGTCAGCTGTGCTTTCCACTGAATGGAAACTGTCTTTTTGTATGGGCAACTCGGAGTAAAGGCCACTGTCAAACCCTCCTAGGTCCCCAAACATGGAGGCAGTGTCAAAGGAAAGTGGAGATTTGATAAGACCTTGCTCCTGATCCATGGGGTAGGGCATAAGGTGGAGTGCATCTTTCTGTATCAGCGGACTGTGATTTCCAGTTGGGGACAAGCACATCTCATCCATCAAAGATGTACAAAGAGATGTGGGTCTGTGAACGTCTAGGTCATTGACCAAAATAATTGCCTCTTTCACCATGCAGGCATTCTCACTCTGTTTCTCCAATGTGGCAGTGCCTGATAGCTGGAGCTGTGTGGCTTTTGGCCCCTCACCCATCTCGTTCTTTGTGTTTTTGTCCACATTAAAATCAGCTTCTCCTGTAATACCAGAAGAGGATGACTCAACCTCCACAGTTTTGTTATCTGTGGTGCTGTCTGGTTTGTCCATACTCTTCAGAGTGTTGCCAACTGAACTTTCCTTTTTACGAGGCACAAGTTTGTCTCTTGATTTGGCCTGAGAGGTTCTTCTTTTTTCATAGTTCCTCACTGACTCTCCCCCTTTTTGTGGGGACGTTAGCAAATCAGGAACTTCTGGATTTGAGAACTTCTGTGGGTCTTCTGTAATTCCTTTGTTATCAGAATATGTTGTCTTGTCGATATTATATTTCTTGACAGATTTAGTGAATGTCAGTGCAAGGGTGCTGGACTCTTTAAAAAGCTTCTGCGGAGTGGATTTATTATGTTTTTTTTGCTCTGGGGACTCGTTCTTTCTCTCATTGTCTGAGTCAGTGCGGTCAGCGCTTTTGGGGCTCACAGAGGTGCTGAGTTCACTGCTCGTGGACGACCTGCTGCCTCGCCTCCTGAGTCTCTGGTGTTTCTCTGGTGTGAGAGACAGCTCTTCACTTTTCTTCATTTCAATGCACTCTTTGGATTTGTGCCTCCATGCTGCTTGCTCTCTCTCACTTCTTGCTCTCCATTTACACTGTTTGGTGTAGGTGTATTTACAGCGACTGCTTTGATTCAGCCGGCCCTGGCTGGCTATCTTCACAGGCTCACACTCATCTTCTGAGTCGGATACATAATCATATTCGCCAACTGCGGGATTCTGCACTGCTGGAGTGAGCCGCTCCATCACTAGGGAGAACTGGAGGTTTTTGGTACCTTTAACATGAAGCTTGTGGAGTTTATTTTTTTGCTGGACTATTTTGTGGATGAGTTCTTTGCTCCAGGTGCCCCCTCCAGTGCTTTTCCTCTTGCTTTCTTTAGCTGCAGCTCTCGAGGTTGGAGATGTGGAGGCCTGCGAAGCTGCTGACCCCCTAAGCGCAGGGCTGTCCTGAAAGCTTTTCAAACCACAGTGCTGGGAAAACTTGCCAGATAAGAGAAACCTTTCTGGGCTCATGTTGTTGTCCCCACTTTTACACATCTTTCCAGTCTCATTCACTTTACTCTCTTGTTCCCAAGATGTTTCACTAGTGAATTCTTTTGAATTTTTGGGGTAGCCATCCTTTTTAACATCTTTTTCATCTTTCTGAAAACGTTTAGCTTTTTTCTCTTTACTCTCAGAATCAGAGTCGTAACACTTTTCTTGTGCAAATAACTTTTTATCTGCTCCATGTTTATTTTTGCTTGGGGGAAGTGTAGATTCTTTTGCTTTTAGAGACTGTTTGGTTGATGATGTTTTGACAGTGATGAGATCATCATCAACAAATGCATCAATAAAGCTGCTGTCTATCTCTGCATTGTCTGACTGATATCCAAGCCCATTCAGAGCTTCTGTTATTAGGCTGTCTAACTTGGCATCCTCCATCTCCAGCTCTGGCAGGGAGATAGGAATGGTATTGGGACCAGATAACAAACCCAGTTTCAGCAGGTCATCCTTATTGTCTCCTTTACCTTCACTCTCAGATATCAGTTCTCCATTTTTGTTAAGACCCAACAATGACAAATGAAGATCAGATGGACACCTTGAGAGTGAAGTATTTGACATGGCTAATGCAGCTTTGACTGGTTCTACCTGGAACTTCCTGTTTTCCTCCATCTTTGACAAATCTTTGAGTTCGTTTTGGGCAAGTGTGTTTTGAGTGCAGTACTGCTTGTGGCCTAAAAAAGAGACCAAGTTGCTGAAATTCTGATCACACTGTTTGCATGTCAGGAGCACATCCAACTGATCAAGATTTGCAGTGGCAAGTGAGCTGGATAAGAGGGGATGTGCTGAATATGGAGGAGGAGGCTGATGGTGCTCAACACCAAAACTGTCCATGTAATCTTTACTACTGTCCAGGGGTGTTTTTGGATGTGTGCCGTTTTGCAGATAGCTTATTGTATTGTCTTTGGTCCTGTCTGGCATGTAGGGAAGGCTTCTTGGAATGTCAGAAGGAAACGGTTGGGAGTGTGTGCTCATGTGATCAGATTGTAACTTAGCTTTGGCCTGTGGCTCCTGATAGAACAGGTGATGTGAGGCTGTCTTTGACATCGGACCGTCTTCTGTGGCCATATTAATGGGACTTGTGGATGTTGGCGAGAGGGAAGAGCATGTGCTACTGGATTGAGGGTTATGGACTGGAGAAGGCAAAGGAGACTCATACGGCGACACCTTTAAAAGCCCCATGGGTGGAACTTGTGGTGGTGGATAGCTATAGTTTCTTGATTTAGCTGTTGAAGTAGTCTGATTGAGTCCAAAGTACACTGACTTATTCTTGGCCTCGCACAGCTGTGTGTGGGTCATTTCCAGTTTGAAAGCTGAGACTGCGGAGTTGTTTTGTTTTATGTTTTCATGTTTTTGGTTTAACAGCACTCCACTGCTTCTGGTGCTCTGGAATAAGTTATGCTTGTGCACTTCACTCTCATCCTGCCAGTCAGCTGGAGAGACCATATAGGCCATTTTCTGATTGTTAATTTGCCTTGATGAGTCTATCCTGTTAAGGTTTGGCATTGCAGAATTTGGTCGCATGTGCTGCCAAGGCACTCTATTGTTTTTAGATGAATTTGGCCGATGGTCTATGGCTGTCTGATTCTGGAACTGAAACTTCTCACTCATAACAGGGTACTGGACGGTGTTTTGATCTGCTGTTGAATATGTTTTATTAGGCCCCTCCCATGAGTGTGGCGGCCTGCTCACGACCTTAGTGCTGATGGATTTATCAAAAGGTGTTGCACCCGTGGTGATGCTGTTGGCTACAGGATTGTTAAATGTTCTGTTGGTGAAATGCATTGGGGAGCCTGGAGTCTGTGAAATATTTCTTGTGGGCACACCAGCCTGTATGAGTGTTCTCTGGCTGGCAGCTGCATCTTTGGGGTGACAGTTTCTCTTTCTCCCTGATGTGATGGCTGCATCCTGACAATCTGCCTGAGAACTTGTGTCTGAGCTCACAGGTAGAGCAGTCTTTCCCTGTTCTGACTGCTGTGAGCTAGAACCCGAGCTGTCACTGCTCGGTGAGTCTTCAGTCACAGTTCTGGAACACTGGATGGATGATGCCACCCCCTGAATAAATTGGGGCTCTTCGGGGTTGGAATAAGAGCTTCTATCTGACTGATGGTCAATATTGAATGGTGAGCTGTTCTGAGAAGAGTTTTGCCCATTTCCAGATGAAAAGGAAAAAGAGCTGTGGGTTATGTGTGGTTGAAGGTTCTGATCAGAGGCAAAAGATTCAGGGTTTGATTGCTCTAGTAAATTATATCCATACTGAAACTGAGAAGGCACAAATGTACTGGTGTTACTGGTTTCCGAAAGGGCAGTTGATTTTTGTGATGAAATCCCATAATTAGCACTACTATAGCTCTGTTCAGGAGACTGCCATACATTCGAGCCAGTAAGTGGGCACTCAGAAATTATCAGCTGACTTCCAGGCTGTGTGCTTTTACTCTCCATTGATGCTTGTTGCTGTGACAGGGGTGGGTGTAAGTGTGATGATGTTCCACTTGAGGAACCCAGTGCCTGTGAGGTATAGCTTGGGGAGATAATGTTAGAGGGATTCTCCTGGAAATAGTGGCTGTAGCTCAGCTCTTGCTGCTGCAGCTCGACCTTTCTTTCTGGCATGATGGGAACGTTGAAGCTGTAGCTGCCCGACACTGGGCCACGGCTAGGTTCCAGCTTCTTGGGTGGCAGAACCTTCTGTTGTGGGTAGGCTATGCCTATGGTGCGTGGATTTGTAATGCTTAGTCTGTACAGCTGCTGAGGGTTGCCACGCTCTGTCTTTCCTGACCGTTTCCCCTTCTCTCGGCTACGGCTCTTTCCACTCGGTGACTGGGGACTGCCTTTTCCAGCCGACCAAGTCCTGTCAGTGACAAATTTTGATCTGTTCTGCAGTGAACTGAAGTCAATCTTCCCCGTCTGCTGTGGCCTTATGACAGCTTCACGCTGCTGAGGATAGTCCTTTTCTTTCTCTAATGTTTCAGTCTTGGTCCCTTCAGTGCTGAGCCCAGCCTCAGTGCCTTTGGTTGATAAGTGCTCCGAAGATGACTTTGTGGTTTTATCACTCTGCTTTTCCAGGACAGTCCCTTCATCCTTTTGTTTGGACTCAGCATCCAGCTCTTTGACTGTATGCATTTGCTGAGTCTCTCCTGCCATGGTGCCCAGTCAGTGCTGTGAAGGCCTGGTCCTCAGAATCACTATCTGGGAAACAGGGACAACATCTTCTGCACAATGGGATTCAGTAAATATCCAGTGGCAAGAACTGCAGGGACAGGGCTGCTCGCTGCAAGCTCATCTCTTTATCCTCATGGTGGACCACGGTTTAGGCACTGAAGCAAAGCAGACCTGAAAGTAGAAGAAAAAAAACAAGATTGAAGTTTTTACTTGAGCAACGCTGTATGTCTTTTTAAAATCTGGCAATATATTTATAACCTTATCCAAAAAGGTACATTTTCTACTCAAAAGTAATAATTTTCATTTGTAAATTTATACTTAAAACGAAACTTTGGCCACATTCACAGAATAGGCTTTAGAAAAGGTATAGAAGTAAGATTCTTCCTTCAAGTTTTGATAATGGCCAGTTGGCAAAACTTTAGCATGACTACATGAGAAAATGATGCTTGAAAAAATAATGGAATGAAAATGGAAGTAAAATCATAATAATTATCAACAATAACAGTGATAAAATTTGTTACTGTTATTGTGTACCGTCACTTTCTAGGTAAAGATCATACAACAATATTGTGTTTTGTGAACCTGCCAGCAGAGGGCACTATTGTATTATTACACAGCAGTTTTGTTAATGCACGAGTGTAATTACTGAGGACTTTAAATAATCACCATACTCCTATTTCTTCTCATACTAACCCTATAGAACCTGTTATAAAATTACCCTCTTTTGAGAATAAGGAGACGTTTACAAAAACATAAACACAGATTTTTTTTTCTCAGGGCCACATTACTGCTCCTTTAAACAGCAATGACTGGATGATACATCAGTCTGGATCCTTGACGCAAACAGCCACAGAAGAAAGAGTTCAGTCCCTAAAGTATGCAATGCACATAGTACTTTAATATAAGAAAATAGAGCATGCAGATCCAAAAGGTTTTGCCAGTAAATGAATCACAGGCTCCTTAAAAGTAGAGACACAATGCCACAGTGTTCTGTTGCTACAGAGTGCTTCAGGTTTAGATCATGGAGGAATATCAAGGATTAGTCAGCCAGCCCTCAGAAAGTGAGAACTGTGGGCATGCTGATGTTTGTTGCATTCCCTCAGGTCTCCCAGACTCAACTTCTCAAGTCTGGGTTTACTTTGGCCTTTAGTTTTTTTGAGGTCCGACCAAATGAACCCTGGACTTAGCACCAAAATGGGATGTCTAGGCCTGGTAACTGTGCTTTTATCCAAAGTTCTGGTCTGTGTTCCCTCGCAATCAGTGATTCTCTGTTTCAGTTCTATCCAGTATGCTGAAAAGCCCTTCAGCACTCCTATTACTTCAGTAGAAAAAAAAAGTGTTTTCATTTGAGGAGTGACTGCTAATTTTATCATCAAATCCCAGTCCTACTGTATAAAACATTTGGCATCTATTACATGGGGCCTCTCCCCTGGGCAATGACTACTAAGTTGACTCTAAAACACACATACTGAAAGATGTGTTTTCTCCGTTTGACAGTCTGAGGTCTGGTCAAATGAACAAAGATAAAAAGATACCGTAAATATATCCATCCCCATAAATCTCTTAAGAGATCATGTTTTTAAAACTTTCAGGGTCATTTTGGGCTCAGCACCTGATTTTGTTTCCTGCCTGAAAGCCTCTTTATCAATCTAGAAGCTTAGTAGCTGTCCTATCCTAAGATAACAGTTGCATTTTCACTTTGAATTCTGAGTCCTATCTCAATTTCTCCTTTATAGTAAAAACTGTAAATGTAGCTAAATATCTATTAAACAAACCTTTGTTGATTTAGGTACCTTGCTTTGGTTACTTAAGTAACAAACAGAAAAACACACTATGCAGTTAGCTCTATATCAACATCAATTTATACAGTTCCCTGAAAAGAAGTAAGAATAATACCTTAACTTTTTGCATTTGAAAGATATTGTTGGGTATATGTCAGCATATAATAGTGCATAGTTGTAAAGCAGAAAGATGATATGTTTTCTAATAAATATTAGAAAGGTGGGCTGCATGATGGCACAGCAGGTTGCACTGTTGCCTGGTAGCAAGAAGGGTTTGGTTTTAACATCAGGTTGGTGAGTTTGTGTGCTCTCCCACTGCATGTAGGTAATTTCTACAAACAGTCAGACCACCTCCTACTATCTAAAAAACAGGACTGTGAGGTTGATTGGTGTCTTTAAACTGTCTTTGGGTATGAATATGTGTGTATGGGTGTGTGCCTCTGTGCATGGTTAATTATCCTGTGTGTCTCTGTGCCGCCCTGCAATTGGACTGCCGACATAGCCAGGGTGGAATTCAGCCCATCAGCCAATGACAGTTTGGGAGCAAGTATATAAAATGGATGGATGGAAACCAGAAAAGTGTAGTTTGAATTCTTCAGTTAGTTACCTTACAGCACAATGACAGTTGCAAGTCTTTAATTTTTTCTACCAGCTCAAAGCAGATTTCTCAAAATTCTTCTCTCCAGCTGAAACAATTCCACTGTGGCTGTGGCTGTACGTTTAGAGCCATCATCTTGCTGGAAGGGGAAACTCTCCCCAAGCCTCTTTTCTTTTTCAAGGCTGATTAGCTTCTTACTCTATACTGAAGAAATACTCCCTATGCATCCCCAGGATTACACTGTCAATACCATGTTTCACTGTGATGGCTCTTTTGTTGATAATGGTGTATACAAAAACACACATATACAGCATATGCTTGTGTCCTATTTTTTTTTTTTTAGCAAATCGACTGTTTAAAAAAAACAAAAACTGATGTATTCACAGGCAGGAAGAAAAGAGCTACAGGAGTCAGACAAGATAAGATCCATGCCAGCCTCAACTGCATAATTCATAAATGCTTATGATTGTTTTTAAGTTATTTCTCTAGTGTCTGTTCCCCTGACTCACTTTTGGTTTAATTTCCTGTGGCATTTAACAAGGTTTACAAGGGAAAAGTTAGACTGAGACTTAGTCTGGTTTTGGCCTGGTTGTGAAAAATAACATCCTCTTTCTACAGAATCTAAAAGCCAGTACCTGCTACTATCCGTGCCATAGGTTGGGGATACTGGGGTTAATGGCCCTGCCAGCATTTCCAGTGGGTAACGCTTGATGGAGCACCGCAAAGTCAACAGTGCTCATAAATCACAGCTTCAATTGTGTTTGCCTAGTCTGGCTGTTGCAGTTTTGGCATTCAAAAGAATGCCTCCAACAACAAAAAGAGCAGTATGGGTATCACAAGGACTTTAGAGAACTAGCACCAAAGCCTGAGCTGTCAGTTTGCAAAGAGTGAGAGGTCATTTATGTCCTTTCAGATGCCTTGTTGACTTCCCCTACCACCCTCAATAAATCTTCCCTTGCACCGTTCTCCTCCTTATAAGTCAGAATTACTTCATACACACACTCTAAACTGCCGCCCTTTTTGGCGTCGTTGGTAGGGCTTATTCATTTTTATCAAAAAAGCATAAATTGCTCTTGGACTGGGTATAAAGAAATTGTGGTGGTGACAAAACTGCATGCTGGGCACAACCTGATGTCAAACCCTCAGCGACTAGTCTAAAATTTGTTCTATAAAACTGTGCTTTAATGGAGTTTTTACAAGTCAATTAAGATGCATGTGCCTATGTGTGTTCTTTAGGCCTCCTGTCAAATCCCACAGTTTCTTCCACTGTGGCGCCCCATATGGCTTGACCACAACACCACCCCGATGCGTGAGACTGCTGTGTGCTTAAGAACTGGTGTATTTGTGGTATAGGCCCATCTGTGTTTTTGTGTGTGGGCAAGTAACTAACCAGACCAAAAGTGCATAAACTTCTCTTTTCTTTTCTTCATTACTCTAACAGGGATATGTGTTGACTTCTTGCAGGAATGAGGGAGTGGGTAAAAGGTGCTTGACTGAAAAGTCAATTTCCGGAAAGTCTTTTTCCTCTCATTTTTGTGGAGGATGTATGAGGTGCTGGCTTGAGTGAATAAATGGTGGTAGCACTCTGAAAAACTTTGTCCATTCATCACATCAGTGCCTTACATAATTGTTTCTGCAGCTCCTAAGCAGTTAAAGGTCCAAATAAGCATTCTTTTTCTCTGGACTCTGGCTGTTTTTGCACTTATTTTTACAAGTGGATTACTGGAGACAAACTGTCAGGCCTAAGAAAATATATATTTACAGTATTTAAAAGTCATTTGCTTAAAAAAAATGTAAAATAAAGGCCTAAAGAAAAAGAAAGAGGCAGTTCTTGCATGATTGGCAACCTGGGAGAGCCCCTCTGCATGACTGATTTCAAATCTTTAATTTTCTGTACCTGAATATTAAGATGCCTTGATGACGTGATAAACACTTATGGAAGCTGTTAATAGATAGGATACAGTAGGCAACAAGGGGATATTTAGAAGCAGAAAAAAAAAGTGGTCCAAATAAAGAGCAGCTACTGTATGAACCAGTTACAAAACTAAGAATCACTGTAGCAACCATAATTCTATCCAGAAATTGAAGGCTGGTCCATGTGGCTCAGTCAAACCGATAAGCTGCTATAGCTCAGTTTGTTAAGCTCTCATTTTAACCTTAATCTTGAACAAAAAAGTCCACCAATCAATGCCTGGTATTTATATTTTATTCTTTAAGATCTCTAATCAAAGAATCATTACACTTGGTCCATAAGTTGGAATTCTCCACACATCTCAGAGTTGTTTGTTTTCATTTAAAGAGACATTTAGAAGTTTTGACTGAAAAATCTCTTTGAAATAGACTTTTTTTTACACTTTACAACTAAAACATCCTTTGATGAGCAGACTGACATACCACAGGGGTTCAGCGCAGATGCAGCTATAAGTCTTTAGCTTATTTTTGTGAATTTACTGTGGGTCAAAAGTTCTTGCACTGTTTGGTGGGTGCACATTCAAGCACGTCCATGTTGAATGGGTCCAACCTAGCAAACAATCGAAGCATTATATTCAAGATGAGCTTCATGCATACTCAGAAGCGCCCAGCATCCAGCTCAACCAATGGCAACCAATATCAAAAAAGACAAACCTTTTTATGTACGAGAGCACGATACAAGAACGTGCAAAAGAGTGCTGCAGTTGTGTGTTTTGACCACAGATGGCAGTATCGCTAGAAAACTCTGTAATTCCTCTTTAAATCTGGGAATTTAAAGGTGAAGTAAAGGTCTTAAAGCATTCCTGTGCTATTTAGGATTT